TAAAAAAAAAACTAAATTTAAATTCTATTACATGTAGTAAGATAAGATAAGGGCAGGAGAAGTTGCCTTTATTGGAATTAATATTAAAAAAAGAAGAAGAAAAATCCAAAAGGCCTGGAACTTCGTGCTGTTTTGGCACAAATGAGCTTTTATTGTTTTCTACTTCCAAATCAAGCCCCCAACTTCTTAGCTTGAAAAATCCTGTCAATGTGAATGTTAAACACTGGTTGTGGCATGTGAAAATTAGTGCCCTGTTTAGCCTATGTTGATGTGGATTTTTTTTTTTTTCGCTTCAAACGTGGCAGTTCTTGTACGCAAAGAATTTACAGTAAGAACATTGTTAAAGTAAGTAAATTGTTGTGTACGGTTAAAATATTTTAAACTAAGCAAACTATCTTAAAAGGCAAGATTTTCCTAAAAATAAAGATTGAAGAAACAAGGTATGCAAATGAGGCAAAAATGATTTCCTACGTTGTATACTCTTGGCCAAGGTCAATGTTCAGTTACACAAACTTGTGTCTTACTAACATGAAAGGAATTAAGTTGCAATTCCTTCTCACCTAACAATTGTTTGAGTCAAATCTCATTTAATCTATAAAGGTTTGAATTTAAGTTTATTAGAAGTGATTCGTTATTTATATGTATATGCTCCCTTTTATTTTAAAATAACTATTATTTAAAAAAAAATTAAGAATTTAGAGATTAATTATATTTATCTAGTATAATATTAAAAAAGAAATAAAAAGATAAAGAGATGTTTTTTGTGATTGGATAATTAATTAAAATGAATGGATAATAATATAGTTAAAGTAAGAAATAAACATTTGTCTACCTTAAAAATGAAAAAACTATAATTAATTTGGAATAAATTTAAAGTTAAAAATAATAATTATTTTAGAATAAAAAGATTATAAGATGCATTTACATTTCTATTTCGATACAACATTCAGGGCATCACATATGAGGTTGAAAGAAAAGGTCTATGAGAACATAGTCAATCAACATACTAACAATCAATGGGACATTCATCATTCACTTTTAGTTTAAATTGAGAAGGTGAAAGATTGATCTGTCACCATAAGGACTCAATTCTCCACAATGACGAAATTTGAGGGCTAATTTCCTATTTGGATGTTTTACCACTTCAGTTATTTATATCCAAAGGGGACCTTAGGAACTACTACTACTCAAACGGTTAAGATGGATCCATCAAAGTCAGATATTAGCAGTGCAAAACCCCAAGCCAAGCCTTTCTGTTTTAAATTTCTCCATGATATAAGATCAAATTTGAGATGGGAACTTAAAATTTCATATTTTAACTTTTAAAGAGTGTTTGTTTTGATTTTTTATAAATAGTTATTAGTTATTGATTTTAATAAACCAAATTAAATACCTTAAATTATAAATATTTATAATGATCAGCATTAAACATCACATATAATAAGTTCCGAAAGGTTAGTCCAAACTACTTATTAACTAGTTGAACAACTTTGAGGTAAGCTTTGATTAAAGGGCAAAAATCTATGGCCAACAGCCTTCTACCTTATTAACCATGAAAGTATCATTCTTTCAACTTACAATATAAAAGTTTTCACCTCTCATCTTTTTTATTTAAATAAAAAAACTTAAAATAGATCACAATGTTATGTACCTATTAAAATTTTGTTATCCATTGCCATGTCAATGCCAATGTGGCAATTTCTTGCTATCATGAACTACTATTATGGGCAATAAAAGTTAGACTTGAAAAACATGTTGAATTAAGTGAATTTGAATTAGTTCACCTCATATTTTAGATTTATTGAATTTGATTATCTTGGATTTTGGGTTACAAAAGTCGACTCATAACTCATCCACACAGATCTCATATTCAATCAAGTAGACTTAATTTTTTCATCTAAGTTGAAAAGATAAAAAATTAAAATTTTTATATTATAAATTAAGAAGTTGATACTCTTATAATCAATAATCAATAAGGTGGAGGGCTGGCCATAAATTTTCGGCTTGATTAGAGAACCGAAGGCCCTGCTAATCATGTCGCCGGAGTGGGACCGCTCCGGCCAAATTGAAAGAGGACACAAAGGCTGTGGGTGGGACCCAGTTGAACGCAAATCGATGGATGGCTTCGTACATTCCGGCCCTTTTATTTACCTCTCGAAAAGAAGGAACCTTTGGCTATTGTTCTCAACTTCAAATATCAAATTCAAGAAGTGCTCGCCTTAACGCCTGCACTTGTTCATTCTCAGCTAGTATTTCTCTTGCTTTGCCACAATTCTTGGGCTCTTTGTGCTTGTTATGTGTCTCTCGAACTATATACACATCTTAATCTTGTCGTTTTCTCTTGTTTATTGAAGTGAAAACTATGTAATATACCCAATAGTTTTGGTCACTTTCTATTAATTTCTCATTAGGCCTCGTTTATCATATGGGTTTTCACTTTTGGTGATTGGCATTTGAATGGGAACTGGGTTTGGCTTATAGCCTCTGGTTGCTCGAGAAGTTGAAGGAGAACAGCAAGCTTGTTCAGGTGGAGGTAAGTCTACTTAATTTTACCAATCAACCCTGACCCAGTTGTTTTCTTGATTAGCTTTTGCTTGTTTCTGGAGAAAATGGAGTTGACACGATAAAGCTGTAGTCTTGCTCTGCTGCGGTATTGCCGTGAGATGGGAATTCTTAGCTTGGACTATTAAGCCTAACATAAGAGTTATGATTCATTTTTATTGTCTCTGGTTGTCTTGGCAAAATAAATTGAGATGATTGAAACCTTCCAGCTTTTGGGGTATTTTTAAATATTTGGTGTTGAGAGTATTGGTGAAGATTCAGACAAAATGGGCTTTTTTGCAATGAGTGCAGTTTTTTGCAATTTCAGTGTTTAGTTTATTTTTTCTATAGATTTTTTGCTTTCTGGGTGGCAGAAGCTGCAGAACTATGGCGACTGAGCAAAGTGCTGTTTGTATCATGCTTATGTTTTCTTATTGCTGTATCTTGTGCTTGGCCTTCTTGTTAGTGTTTAGTTGGAATGGCAGCTTTTGGTATCTTATAATGACTCTATAATCTATATAAAGCTGCTTTTTTTTTTTTTTTTTAATATCAGGGATTTTAGAGCTAGTATGTGAACTTTATCTCTTTGACCCTGCACAAATAAATACAGACAGGTTGCTTTATCTTGTATTTTTAGGAAGTTTGAGAGTTTTAAAATCTCAAGTGTTTGATAAGTTTCTGATTTTGGTTTCTTACTGATGCAAGGTTGTGTATTAAATGGTGATCTTTTGTTTTTCAGATTACTTTTCTAGGATTTCATTTGGTTATCTTAATTGTTGCAGAATAAGGCACTGTTCTAATCTTCATAAGGTTAGAAATATGGCTGCAACCACTACTATGTCCATATCTCGAGAGGCATCCAACTATGACGAGGTTTCGATGCAGCAGAGTTTGTTGTTTTCTGATAGTCTCAAGGTACTACAATATCTCTGTCTAAGTTTTTTCTAGTGGTCATTGGGCTTCTGAATCTGGTTGCAGTTTGATATGCTCTAGGCTCAAGCTTAAAGCTCAGCTTCTTGGTTTTTCTTTTTCTCATGGTTGAAGTCTAAATCATGGACTGAATGCTTTATGCTTGGCGTTTTGACAACTAGCAGTTTCTACTAGGCTACCATGACTGATTTTGAGCTTTCAAGCCTAATTGATCAGGATTTCAAACCTAATCCCCCCAAACCCTATCCCTAGCCTCGGCCCACCCTTTTCAAACATTGAAAAGTAAAGGTGGACCTACTAATTGGAGAAGAATCACTAATCTATATGAATTTTCCCCTAATGGTTCAAGTGGTGCTTGTGATATAAGGCTAAGGTAAAGTGGGTAACATGCACTACTTTAACCCTGTTTCATTTTAACATAAGTTTATAAAATAAAGTCTCAAAGGATGTAAAGTACCTGTCATTGGGCTTCCTAGACCAAGATTTATGTATCAGTTCTTGATTCAATTGTATTTTCAGGATTTGAAAAATCTAAGAGCACAGCTATACTCTGCAGCTGAGTATTTTGAAATGTCTTACACCAATGATGACCAAAAGCAGCAGTGAGTTACTCTTTTTCCTCACTCCTAGTAGTTGTGGCTTTTAGTATTGTAATTGCCTTTTTATTTTTGTCCTTTTTGTTTAAGAGGGAGAAATCTCATTACATACATGCAGAGTGGTAGAAACATTAAAAGACTATGCCATCAAAGCTCTTGTGAATACCGTGGACCATTTGGGTTCTGTGACATTTAAGGTTAGTGACCTTCTGGATGAAAAAGTTGATGAGGTTTCTGGAACAGAGCTTCGGGTATCTTGCATTGAACAGGTAAGGTTGAACCTTCTTGGTGAACTCAGTAAAGTAATAGTTATCCAAACAACTATATTTAATATGCTTTATAAAAATCTATGAGTCTCTTTAAATTTAAATTGAGATAATGGACAGTGATTGGAATTATGAGAATAAAAATTTTTCGTCTGAGTGAAAATTTTTCTTTTTCCAGTTAAGTCCTAAAATTTACAGATAAGGGTATCAGAAACCAGGCATTCTCGAAAAGCCTTATTTTTGGTTTTATGATTCACTGTAGTGGTTTTATGATTCACTGTAGTTGTTTCTCCTGTCAAGACATTCTGCACAATGGAGAAACCTTAGGCATTGGATTTTGAGATGTCAACATCATAGTGATATTTAACCTAAATTATGCAATGCATCCTTGAGAATGAGTATCTTTTCTCTTATAACCGCTATTTTAGTGTAGATAACCATTAAAATTGTCTGGATGATTTTAACATTGAACAATTTACATGTAATAATTATTTTTATTCTTTATGTGTATTTTCTATGTATTTTAGAGGATACGGACATGCCAAGAGTATATTGATCATGAGGGAATTTCCCAACAATCACTGGTGATAAATACTCCGAAGTACCATAAGCGGTATCTCTTGCCAGGCAACTACCTTTCATTCCTTATTTTCCCCATTTAATTGATTAATTTTGCATTGCTTTTACTGCTCAATCCCACGCCTATCCCCACAAAAAATGGGTGTTACTGTTATCTTTTGATCTGCCTTGTAAACCAAGTTGTCTGGATGCTTACATTTCCTTAGATTCATGTTCAGCTGGAGAGACCATGGATGGTGCGAACAAGTCAAACTACTTAGGATGTAGCCTAGATGATGAAGATGACTGGTATCAGTTTAGGAATGGTAATTATATTAACTCTTTTTTTGTCATTCCCTCATATATTGGGCCAGATTTTATGTTACTTAATTATTTTTGTAACTTGACTGCTGTCTTAAAGCTGTTCGAGCTACCATTAGAGAAACCCCAACAGCAACACCACCAGTGAGGTAAAGATTGTTGAATTTCTAGATGATTGCATTATTGCATTACTGCTTTTTCATTGAGACAATAATTCTCATGATTCTCGTTGGTGTTCCAAGCAGAAAAGGGCGTTCTCCATCACCTTCTCCATGGCCTCCACACCGATCTGCAACCTTTTCATTTACTGCTACCATGCCCAAAAAAGAACTAGGTTGGAATGCACATTGCACTCTGATTCCTTTAATGAAAGTTGTTTCTTCTTTTTCACCATCACTACAAAACTTCTCGTTGATGCATGTATGTGCTGTCTATTTTTTTATGCTCTAATTGACAATTTTTACTTGCAAATCAGAGAAGCGAATGGAATCACCCCACCGATTTCCACTTCTGCGTTCAGGATCCCTTACCAGGCCTACAACTCCAAATAAGAGTAGGCCAACCACTCCAAATTCATCTGATGCAAGACAACGGGTAAAGATAGGATATTTTAACTTTATTTACATGGTAGTTTGAAGATCAAGTGCTAATTAGTTTTTCTTAAGGTGGAAAATGATGAATACACTGTTCTCTTTATGTTAAGTGTGCTTCACTTTCTATTGTCACAGTACCCTTCTGAGCCCAGGAAATCAGCTTCAATGCGTTTCCAACCTGAGAAAGGGAGCCCTAAAGTGATTGAACAACATCCTAGCAAAAGCAAGCGACTGCTCAAGGCATTGCTTAGTCGTCGCAAATCAAAGAAAGATGAGATGTTATATACTTATTTGGATGAATACTGAGGGAGAATAATATACAATACCTAAAGAGAAAGAAGATGGTCAAGGGAAGGAAGACCATGGATGAGGAATCCCTGTCCTTTTTTTTATGGCTTTTCTGCTTGACATTCTCTTCTTTTCATATTTGGATTAGGAGATAAAAAGCAGTTTGATTTTCTTCATTTATGTTCTGGATATAAGCACTCCTGTTGTATACCAATCCATAGCTTACAATGATGTAAATTATTGTTTGACATTGAGAGCAGTATTTAATAGTAACTTTTATGGAAGGTCAAGTTAATTTACACCATCCATTTCATTGCTATGCAACAGCTTGGAATTGGGTTTAACAGACCGGTCAAGACTAGTAAAATTTAAGATGAATATGCAATGCTTCCTCTGTCTCCCTTTTTAATCAGCAGGGAAATCGGATCCCAGGATGTCAAACTCTGCTGTCAGATCTCTTGAATTGGCAAATATTTTGAAATTTTTCAACGTTTTTCATTTGTCACTCATTCATGATCTGGCAAAGTCCTGCAAGGTGCTGATCCTGCACCTCATTTAAGGACAATGTATACATGATAGTTGATAGAAACAGAACTGTATCGGAAGGCAACAGACCATGCCTCAAGCAACTCCAAAACCAACTCACATCCTCACCTATGATTGTCTGAAGGGCAAAATCACAATGAATTTTCAACACAACTTCTATTTAACTGAAATGATGTTGGATATAACGAGACACACTCGCCCCATCAAAGTAAAAGCGAAAGCTATATAAATCTAAATGAAAATGTCATCCAAGCAGTGACAACAACAAAACAGAGGCTACAGCTTGATTTCTATGAAAATCTGAACAAGTAATAGGTTCATATACGTGTTACAGCTGCATTCCTGGCCCAAACTCTTCAATTGTTTTCGTGGCAAGCGTAAGAGCATCTACAAGAGCTGAATATGATGCACGAAGAAACCTTGCCTCTACTGCTTCAAAGTGCCTGCATCAATCAAGAAACAAATTATGGTACAGAAAATTATATATCTTCAAACCACATGGTCCAAGCAAAGTCCACATAGATTTAAACATGATAGAGGAAGGGTATTAAAGGATTGGCAGCAAACTTAAAATGCACTGCCAAGTCAAGACATCTAAAAGATCAGGAAGTGCTAATAGATAGATTAGACATCATAAAACTGATTGCAGTAAAATTATTCTCATATTGTTTAAAGGTGAACAGCTTCTCCCCCTTGAAAAATTTCCTCAACCTCTTTCACAACTATTTATGGAAACCTTATAATTAGATTTTGTGAAAAATTAAAGAGATATAAGAACAGTTACTTTGGCATGAAATTGATATCAAAAACAGATGGCAACTATTAACACAGACACCAATCATGCAATTTAGATAACCATTCATGGAAGATTGTTTCAAACTGTCAAATAACACAGTAAAGGGGAAATTTTGCTCACACTGAAAGCTTCCCATTAGAGACAGACATTTGCCTCTTCACTTTGTCTGGCTGCAACTGCATTTGGAAAATAGAATTCAATAACAATTCACACATAGAATTAACAACAGTGCCACAGAGGGGTCTAGAATTGCTAGTTCATCACCTCCTTATCAACAGCCAAAGCTGCATAAACCATGGAAGCATTCTCCTCTGATTCAAAATCCACCTCGAAGTCACTGCAGATAAAAAAGAAACTGACCCATTTTCAAACGATGAAAAACCAATGAAATTCAATGATTCCCATTTCCCAGAGAAAGAAAAAGCACAGGCTTTAGCATCAATAGAATCGAAACCCCAACTTAAAAATTGAAACTTTTTTTGATGCATCACAAGAAATAAGGAGAGGATGAAACGTTTGGGAAGGTAGGAAGCGATAGGAATAGACACGTACCAACTGAATTCCCACTGATTCTGGTCGTGACACAGCTCGGAGGGTGCAGCAGCAGAGGCGGCGGCGGCCATGTCTTCTTCTCCTATCATCTTGGAAAACCTATAGTAGGGCAAGATAACAAAGTTGTCGGACCGGACGATGAATTGAACCGGTTCAGTGATTAATTCAACCAGTCGTTTGTGAAAAAAAACAAACCATTAAACCCAGAATAGGCAGTTTCTGGCCCAAAAACTTATTCGGAACTAATTGGGCCGAGGTGAGATTTGGGATCAAAGATTTTAAAATCACTCCTACATTATTAAGTAGTGAACTTTCGAGAATTTTTTTTTTTTTAAAAAAAAACAAAAATAATATAGTTACATACTTACAATATTACAATATCACACATGCTGACCATGTGATTTATTCTTATATAATTAATAATTTTTAAAATTTATTTATAATACTATGTACATTGATTTAATGAAACTTTTTAATTAACGATACTTTTATGTACAGATATTAAAAATATAGTATTATTGATTACAAAATAATGGTATGTTCTACAGGAATGTTTGGAGGGGTGGTATATGCTCCAACGAACATTCCAGTCTTTCTGGTTTCTCAATAAACCACTTTCCTCCTCTCCTATGGATCACAATATTCAAAGGTATGTTCCTCTCCCCTCCTCCCTACTCATATTTTTTTTTTTGGGTTTTTAGTTTGCCCTTGCACATCTTCATTATTGCAACGTTTTTTTAGTGAGATAAATCGAGTTAAAAATTTAGATAATTATGTTATTTAAAAAAAAAAAAGGATTCTATGATAGTTAAATGTTAATTTTGATTCTTAATTGACAAAAAAAAATACAAGATTTCTTTTACATGTCATGTTTAATTAAAAAATGGAAAAGAAAAATTCAACGCTGATGTCAAGGGTGGAGGGAAGAACATCTAGCCCCAACTTTTCATGCCCTTTGATGCATAGTAATATTCATTACTCTGATATTAGCTTCTTTAATCTCCTTCATTGACAAATTTTTGTCATTCAATTCTCTACTTTGGTTTATCAATCGAAATGCTGTTAGCCATGACCCTGCAGATGGGAGATAAAAGCAGTTGAGCATATCTTATTTGGAAATAGAGAATCCTTAAGCACAAAGGGAGCATGAGCCAAGAATATGGGAAATATAAGAACTTACCAGTAAAACAAAAAGGGTTCATTGACTATGTCTATGTGAGTGTGGGTCCAATCCTTACTGGTTTCACAGTTTCACACTCTGCAGAGCTCTTCTTCCATACTTTAATGCAATTACAAGTAGACTGAATAAGTGTAACAGGCAAACATAGAGTTTCTCTATAAATACGGTCCTTTCTCCATCCGTGATCTCACCAAATGACATCCTCGTAGTCGTAGATTCTGACTAACAATAACAACAGACATTAGCAAATGATGTCAAAAAGAAAATAGAATCTGTTGGATCAGATAAAATAGCCTGTTTTACTAGTAACCACCCGAACCAGAGAATATACTACATTGTCTGCTTGGAGGTCGTTATAAGTTAACTTGGAAGGGAAGCTTTTCAGCGTGGTTGTGGAATACTTACCAGAACTTCTCTTCAGAAAATTAGTCCAATCTTGTGGGTTAATCTTCTTTTCTGATGCCTTTATCAAGTCAAGAAGAGCTTGATTAACCTAAAATTTTATAAAAGAAATGTCTATAAATTTGGGTTCTTTTCCACAATCCTAACATATTTAATTGAAATATTGAGAGAATTGTTGCTGTATCGTGCATAGTGCAGTCCAGGGTAAGTCCTTGTAGTCTCTTATTATGTTGCAGGTACATGCATGACCACTTCCTATTTTTGCCTTTTGAAATGCTGACCACATTTCAATTACATCCATATTTATTCTGTAAGTTTGATCATTTATCTTCATGCATGTGCAGAAAATTGATTTCTCTAAACGGTTCTAAGTGCATGACATGCATTTTGAAAATGTTCCTATCATACCTCATAAGCCCCTAGTGTATTTTAGACTAATAGAATTACCTCCTCAGTCCTCTCATGACTGACCATATGCCCCCCATGAAGCTCTACCATTCTAGCAACTGGCTGCAGCTTCTCAGCAAGCCTTTTTGCATGACTTACTTGAGCGATGACATCTTGCCTACATAGTGAGAGATTACTAAATTAGTTTAGAGCAATACAGATTTCTCAGGATATCAATCTTTTATCAACTAAAAAATAGTTTCCCATATTGCATTTCTATGTGAAGTTGGGTTGTTCAATATGTCAAACTCTCTCAGAAGTCATATTGCTCATATCTATACTTCGATTAATAGCATTGACAAATCAATTCAAAAGTATATGCATGATTTTCACAACTAATGGCTGGAGAAACAGACATTAATTACCTTCCGTGGATTATTGATACAAGAAAACCACTGGTACGAATCAGTTCAATTTCTGTTCCTGTCATTTTATGAGTCCAACATGCATTGACTTGACCATCAAAACCTAAGTTAGACTGCATTCCAGTGGCTGTAATACCTTTTACATATTCCTACGATGGAAAAAGTGAAAAGTCAAAGTCATGAGAAGACTCAATTGCATCTTTGATCAGTTAAGTTATAATAGTACAACCTGTGAATGTGATGGATGATATTTTCAATAGTTAAGTTGCGAGTTCATCAGCTTTTGTTCATCAATATGACAATCATGAAACAGCTAATTAAAAACTTTTGGACTTCAGTGATTTCTTACTTGATACAAAATTGATCTTCTTGTGTTGGATCCAACACATTCGTCAAGATATTCCTGCAAATCAGACATGAAGCAGTATGAGTTCTGTTTTACCACAAAAGTGCACCTATTTCCAAAGAATAATGATAGATGGATCAAAATTTAGAATCAAAACCTGAGACTAATGATATAATATAAGCCACGTTATTTAAAATATTAAAAAATAAACTCTACATTATTTAATGATTGACTTTTTTTAAAATTTTTTTAATACTCATGATATTAAATATATCAATTAATTTAATGACATAACATAAATCACATTATTAATCTCAAATTTTCGTCTTCCCTAACATTATTCATTTTAGAATGCATAAGCATTTGTATTTCTTTTCTTTAGTTGGATATAGTATTTGACCTCTTAGAATCATGTATGACTTTTTCTGAAGCAAGTTTTGCATGCATACCACAAATTCTACAATGACTTCAATTTCATGAGAGCGAAAGTATTGGGGCCGCAGTGGCAGTGCATTCATCTTTTGTGATAAAATAGCCTTATACTTTAGATTAGAGAACTCCTAATTTCGGTTCAAGATGTCACATGTTATTAGGGGGCATGAATGAACAATATGGCCAAATATATTCATCTAAGAAACCATGGTAAAATCTTCTATTGATGTCTTTGCTAATAGAAAATTGAACACTAATCACAATCCTTGGATTCAAAAGATAATGACACAGGCAATAGAGAACAGTTTTAACCTTTGTATAGTGTGTGTCCAAGTCAACAGCTGCCCTTTGTTCAGGGGTTTTTGCTCTTAAAAATCGAATTGCAATTGATAAGGTCTGACGATCAAACTGCAAGAAGAATATTAACTGTGAGAACTAAAACTGAAGTGCTTCAAAGGACTGTTCCAGTTAGAAGGGAACTGCTAATTAAAGATCATAATTGTATTAA